GTTTGCACTACCAGATGAAATGACTATTTCCCAGGACTCTAACTCAAGTCATGTTGTGTGCTTAGACATGGTTCATTGAAGTCACCAGAGATAAACATTAGGCAAGCTTTCAGGGTTCCTGACTTCTTGGAACTATAGTCTGAGATATAAGGACTCAGATGTTTAGATTTTTGTGCTGTCAGATCCTAACAGAGATAAAGACATGATTTGAATGAACTGCAAGAGATAGATAGGGGGAATAAAGGACACATTGGTGTCAAATGGGCAGTCAGGGTTGTATGGTGTGCATTTTTCTTAGGCAATTTCATAAAGAAAAGTCTGGGGGCCAGATGTGGGGCACACATGTTAATACTAGCACTTGGGAGGCAGAGGTATATGGAGCTCTCTAAGTTCAAAACCAGCTTGGTCTATGAGTTCCAGTCCAGCCAGGACTATTCTAGAGACCAAATGTACTAGGATAAGGGAACAGGACCCTAAGATCAATGATTTGGCAAGTGTGACTTGTTCCTAGAATTTCCATGCTTGTTGGGAGCCAAATCTCAGGGCTTGGCATGAGATCCTAGGCCACGCTTGGCAGGCCACATAGTTAACGTTCACATAGCAGCTCCTTAGAACCTCAGCTCAAGAAAAGAAACAACTTGACCCAGTCCTCCACCCACAGGCTCAGTCACCTAGGCAACCCTTCCTGGACCTCTTATTCATGAACTCTTTACCCTGTCATACATCCTCTTTGTGGCTTCCTAATAGCCTGCCTACACTAACACCTGGTGCACAAACAACCCATTCTGCCCCTCCCCACATCCTGACTATATAAGCTAGCCTGAGAAAAGTAAAGTTTGCCACTTGATCAGAATCCTGTCTTGTGGTTGTTCTTTCTGTGTCTCTTGTCCCCATTCCCTATCCCTGACTCTTTGTCCCAGGTTGATGTCCTGCAGGTCGGGACACATGCTTAAGGATGTTAATAGTGTAAAAATTTACATGGGGGTCTAACAGGTGACGAAGACCAGCAGACAGTTGAGGCTCATTACCGAGCGTGGTAAATATTTATGGGCCAAAGAGAAATCCGGTGGGGAGACATATCAAGTTTGTTTTCCACATTCTCCATGCTTTGGAGGACTTTTCTGGGGCTTGGTTCTCTTTTATGTGCTCTCAGGTGACATTCCCAGGAACTCACCCACCTCCTTTAAGGCAGGCTTCTTACTGGTCTGGAGATCACCAATTAGGCCAGACTGGCTAGCCAGTGATCCCCAAAGATCTTCCTCTCTCTGTCTACCCAGATCTGCTATGACAAATCCCCTCACTTGCAAGGTAAGTGGTTTACCTATTGAGCCTTCCCCAGTCCTGAGGGTTTATCTGTATTCATAGCTTTTAAAAGTTATAGCATTTTCCTGTGATGTATTGTTCATCAGCTTTAGGGTATCTCTTTTTAAAGATGCATTTATTTTACTTCTCATGTATACATAAAAATATAAATATATATTTCATTCATTTTTCATTTGCCCACATATATATATGTACCACATGCATGTTTGTTGCCCATGGAGATCTCTTGGGCCTAGAATTGCAGATGGTTGTGAGCCACCATGTGTATGCTGGGAACTGAACTTGGATCTTTTGCAAGAGCAACAAGGGTTCTTAATAACAGAGCCATCTCTACAACCCATTAGGGTGTCTCTTTGAGATTCATAAATGACAAGCAAGCCTATTGTCATGTTTTAATGATAGAGAGCTGGGCATTTAAAGATGATATAGATTTTTGAATTTGGTATATTTTCCAATTCTTTCTATTTTGTCTGTTTCTTCAGTAAGGTGGAAGAACATGGGAACTGACAGGTCAGTGTGTGTGTGTGTGTGTGTGTGTGTGTGTGTGTGTGTGCAGGAAGCTTGTTAGGTAGCTAAATAGAGATTGTTATAATAGTGACATTTGCCTGTATATAAGGATTAGCTATGTGGCAGCCATTATGTTTCATAAATACAATCTTTTTTGAACACTAAGACTCTATGAGATGGGTATTATAATTACTTTCACGTAAGTGAGCAATGAATGACCTTTGGAGAGAAGATATAATTGCTCAAGATCTCAGACCAGGCAGGTGGCAGATAAATGACTGGTGTCTATGTCTGTGTGACTCTGAAGGTAGCACTTTCAGCTGCCTGGCTTCACTATGTTCCCAGATGATAACACCAGTCTACCTGGCCTTTCCATGAATGCCAACAGATTAAAAAACAGACAGGTATGAGTTTTATCTCTTCTTTCTCTCTCCCTACTGACCTCCTTGTCTCTCCTATTCCCCCCTTTCCATCCCACAAGTAGCAGGAAATGTGAATAGTGAAATCGACTTGAGATTGAACTAGTAAGTACACAACTGAAAAGTCACTTGGATGTTGGGGATGGACTGATACCTGTAAGGTCCTAAAGGGTCTACTCCTTTTTCAAACTCATCACAAGAATGCCAAACTGGCAAGTCTTATTCTGTATTATCATAAACACCTTTAGGTCATGATGAGAGCTCTTGTCAAGCTTCATTCATGACACAAATCTAGAAGGGTAATAATTATGATCTGGGAACATTCTCACAAGCCCAAGTCCACTACAAGTTTAACTAAACAGAAAAAAATTTCCCAACCTTCATAAGCCAGCCACACCCATGAATGTGAACCTCAGGCCCTAAGCGAGCTGTCTAGAACAGGAATATAGTTTTTAATCTAGCAGACAACAACATAAGAACTTACAGTCATGTGAGAGAAAAGCAATGAGTTAGCTATTAAAAGGTGTTTCTGTGCCTAACTTGACTGAAGGCCTTGAAAAAATAGCCTTTTATCTCTAGATCATCTCCTCCTTTTTATTGCTTAGTGCTTTGAGATAGGTTCTCATATAGCCTAGGCTGGCTTCAAACTGGCCTTGAGTTCCATATCCTTTGTCTCCACCTTCCAAGTGCTGGGGTTATAGGCAAAGCCAACTGTTCTAATTCTTTGCCTTTTGCAAAAGGAGTTGAACTTAATGACATAGTTGTTTTGGTTGACATATTGTAACTTTTTTTTGACATATTGTAACTTTGATTGAAAACATACTAATTAGGGCTGGAGAGATGGCTCAGTGGTTAAGAGCACTTGCTTGCTCCTGCAGGAAACCCTGGTTTGGTTTCTTGTACTCACATAGCAGCTCACAACCATGTGTAACTCTACTTCTGGGGGATCCAATGCCTTCCTCTAGCCTCCATAGGCATCATGCATGCACATGGTCCACAATCCACATCCCGACAAACCACCCATATACACAATAATAAAACAAACAACTCTTTAATAAAAAGAAAATAGACTAAGTCTGGTGTCTCATGCTTTTAATCATAGCACTTGGGAGGCAGCCAGGGCTACAGAGACCTTGTCTCAAAGCCAATCAACTAAATAACAAATAAGTTAATCAGCCCAATCCTGTAAGACTATTTACTTTGTACCATATAGAAATTTGGCTGATTAAGTACTATTAATATAATCAGAAAATCAAATGGTTTCCTTAGAAAGTCTAGTTGGTTAATTGGCAGTTATTTGATTATATAAAAACAGAAAATACAATGCAAAGAGTTCTTTGTGGCAAGAGTGGGTTTTCTTTTTCTATTATTTTTCAAGAGGTGTGAGTTTTCTTTTTAGTCTCCTCATGGCTGACTTCATCTCCTGGTTCCTCAGAGTGTAGATCAAGGGGTTCAACAGAGGGGAGATGACTGTGAAGGTGACTGAGATGGCTTTATCTGTGGGGAGGGCAGTGAAGGGCCGGGCATAGACATAGATGCAGGGCACAAAATGTAGGGTGACCACAGTGATATGGGAGGTGCAGGTGGAGATGGCTTTCCTCCTATCCTCCCCTGCCTGAGACCTCAACATCATCAGGATGACCATGTAGGACACCAGCAGGAAGATAAACCATAGGGTAGTTACCAGGCCGTTGTTTGAGATCATCAGGAGCTCAAGGACAAAAGTGTCAGTGCAAGCGAGTTTGAGAACCTGTGGGACATCGCAGTAGAAAGTATCAAGAACATTGGGTCCACAGAAGGGGAGTGGGAGCAAGAGGGAGATTTGCACAATGGAGTGAACAAATCCCCCCACCCAGGAGGCCGCAATGAGGGCTGTGCACCACCTACTACTCATGATGGTCACATAGTGAAGGGGCTTTGAGATGGCCAGGTAACGATCAAATGCCATCACAGAGAGAGAGAAAATGTCTGCCCCACCAAGCAGGTGGAAGAAAAATATCTGTGTCATGCACTTTGTGTAGGAAATTGTCTTTTTCTTTGATAGAAGGTCCACCAAAACCTTAGGGGCTGTGATGGAGGAGAAGCAGATGTCCAGGATGGCAAGGTTTCTGAGCAGGAAGTACATGGGTGTGTGGAGACGGGACTCAAAGGTCACGGTGATCATGATGAGGAGATTCCCCAGAAGAGTTGTGATGTACACAAAACACAAGACAAGGAATAAGACCAGGCTCAGGTGTTGGGACTGAGTAAGACCCAGAAATATAAATTCTTTTACTCTGGTGTCATTTCTCCATTGAATCATGATTTTCCTTTCTTGTACATCTTGGAAAAATTAAGGATATTATTTAACAAGTGTTACACCTTTTCCTTACTAAGTTCAGATTCTTAGAGGCCAGTATCAGAATTAAAAGGCCACAAGATGCCATTGTCACATGGATTGCCACTTCAGGGTTATTGTAATTTTCACTGTAATATGTCCTGAATGAATGGCATTACACAAGCATGCATTAAATTATTTTCATCTGTTAATCACAAATATTTTTAGGATGTATAAAAATGTTTTTTTTATATAAGCTATAAGTATTCAAGTAAATAGAGGTGGATGATGAATATTTAGATATGGGTTATTTGTAGTATGAGAGATAGAGAGTAAATTTTATTTTGTATGTAATAAAGCAGTGACTGTTTTGTACAACTAAAACATTTTGTATTCCTAAGGATTTTTTCTAGATTGAATACTTCAATTAATGAATAGCCCCAAGGACTTCTACTTACCAGACAATGCCCTTTGAGTTGAATTCTACAAGAATTAATCATGAATTTCATTCCATGACAAATTAGAAAAAAATTAAGATCTTCATTCTCCTTTATCTTTCTTCCTTAGGAGCAATTCATTATTTTCTTCTTTACTTTCAATTAGCTTAGGTGGCGGAGTAGCTCCTCGGCTATGGGAAAACAATGCTATTTTGAGTTCTTTTATTCATTATTTTAGCTGCTTCCTTATGATTAATTCTTTTCTTGATCTGTCATTGTTGCACAGTGGCCTGCACATATCTGTGGTGTACTTCTTAAGCTTTGATTTATGCCATGTCATGATCACAACAGTTAAGACAGTGAGCATATCTAGCATGTCAGAAGAGACTTTGTGATCTTCCTGTAATCAGTCACTATCTCTTCTCTTCCAAGCACTGTGCTCTGTTGTTATAAATCAGTTTGCATTTCTAGAATTTTCTGTAAATTGAATTCACCATTTGTACCCATTTGTTTTCCCTGGCTTCTTTCACTCATGAAAATTGAATTCACCATTTGTACCCATTTGTTTTCCCTGGCTTCTTTCACTTCCTTCCTTCTTTCACCACCCTCCCCCACCCCAGTTTGTGTACATGACTGTGTTTTTTTTTTTTTTTTCATTTTTATCATGTGGACACAGCACAGTGTATGTAAGGATTTCCTTGATATTTCCTTGATGAACATTTCTGGTCTAGTTTTTTGAATGTTATACATATAGCTGCTATGAGCTGTGTGGCCTTAGGTAAATATACTTCTAGTTTTCTTAGACAAGTAGCTTGGGATGGACTGGCTATAATTCTTTTTTTTTTTAAGATTTTATTTATTTATTATGTATACAACATTCTGCTTCCATGTATATCTGCACACCAGAAGAGGGCACCAGATCTCATTATAGATGGTTGTGAGCCACCATGTGGTTGCTGGGAATTGAACTCAGGACCTCTGGAAGAGCAGTCAGTGCTCTTAACCTCTGAGCCATCTCTCCAGCCCCTGGATATAATTCTTAAAATTCATGAGTAGGAAATCAACCAACCCAATTTAAAAAGTAGGGCAAATGAGGTGAGTATGGTGGTGCATGTCTTTAGTTGCAGCACTTGGGAAGCAGTGGCAGAGGCGGTACATCTCAGTGAATTTTCGATATAGAATGTTCCAGGCTATCTGTGGTTACATAGTGAGGCCCTCTAAAAAAAAGTGAGTTAAAACTACAGTGTGAATGAAATCATGGTATAAATATAAGCAATACACATCCATTAGAATTACTAATATAGAAAAGACTGACATATCAAGAGTGGGCTGGAATCATGGTGGGAATGTGAAATGGTAAGACTGCTTTTGAAAACGGGTGGTTTTCTAAGAGAGACATACATGGAGAAGGGGAAGGGTCAAGATCTCCTGAGAAAATTGGGAGCATGGGCATAGGGGAGAGGGAGGTAGAAGAAAGAGAAGGGGAGAAGAGGAGGGGATAGGAGGACAGGAGAGAGCAGGAAGATGGAGTCAGGGCAAGAATAGAGGAGAACAGGATGAGAGATACCATAATAGAGGGAGTCATTATAGGGTTAAAGAGAAATCTGGCACTAGGGAAATGTGAAGGAAAAAGCCTGTAGATTCAAGATACCTTTATTCAGATAAATAAAAGCCAAACGCAAGCCAGAGCGTGCCCAGGGGCAGCAAGGCAGGGAGGCCAGAGAGAAGGGACAGCAGAAGGGGAAGAGGGCATTCCATCTGCTCGTGGTCGCTTAAGAGCCTCGTCATTCTGACCTCACCTTGCCCACACCTTGACAGGCATGGTCAGGCATACCTGTAGCCAGCCCTTAGGAGGTGTGGTTACGGTGTCTCCCTACAGAAATGTTCAGAGATCTACAAGGTTGACCTCAATTAACAATCTAAGCAATAGTGGAGATGCTACCTTAAATGCCCTTCTCCAATAATGAGATTGATGACTAGCTTATATGCCATCCTAGAGCCTTCATCCAGTAGCTGATGGAAGCAGAAGCAGATACCCACAGCTAAAAATTGAGCTGAACTCTGGAATCCAGTTGAAGAGAGGTAGGAATGATGAGCAAAGGGGTCAAGACCAGGCTGGAGAAACCCACAGAAACCGCTGACCTGAACCAGGGCTGCACATGGACCCCAGACTGATATCTGGGAAACCAGCATGGGACTGATCCAGACACCCTGAACGAGGATGTCAGTTTGGAGGTCTGCAATTTTTGGGACCTCTGGAAGTGGATCAGAATTTATCTTTAGTACACGAATGGACTTTGGGAGCCCAATCCACATAGAGGATACTCTCTCAGCCTATATACATGGGGGAGGGCCTAGGCCCTGCTCCAAATGATATAACAGACTTTGAAGATCCCCAAGGAAGGCTTCACCCTCCCTGGGGAGCAGAAATTGGATGGGATAGGGGGTTGGTTGAGGGCAGGGGAGGAGGAGAGGGAGAGGGAACTGGGATTGACATGTGAAAGAAGCTTTTTTTCTAATTTAAATAAAAAAGGAAAAATAAAACTGGTAGTTTCTTTAAATATAAAATATATGCTTACCATATAATTGTGTTGCTTTTTTAGTTGTTTCTTTTTTTATTTGAGAAAATCTTGTAATTGTCCTTAATTTCTTTCTTCTGAATTTATCTTCATTTTCCTCTTACTATAGAAAGAAATGAAGAAAGAAAGAAGGAAAGAAAGAGAGGAAAGGTCATTTTTCCTTCTATTTTGGAGTATGTTTTTCAGTTCCAATGAAGATTTTTGTTTCCATATAACTAACTCACTTTCCCTTCAAGTTTCTTTTTCTTCTTCATGCAATATTCTCTGAAGCCAATTTAATTCAGAAGACTGAAAACAAACTACCCGAGGTGTCCTAACTGAGAGGTGGTACATTCCCACACCACACTGACTGGCCACAGTGGGACACTTACTGTCACAACACAACCAAGTAACTTTACTCATCTGGCCTCAGTCTCTGCATTTGTCATTTGCCAGCAACGATACCCTCTTTGTATCATTTTCATGAGTATTAAATGAATTAATTCACATAAGACAGTGTTTAAAGTATACCTAATTGACAGGAAATGGGATTATGTATGTAAAAGAAAACCTGTGCTTACCATTCCCATTCGTACACTTCTTTAAACATACCAATGTCTTAGAGGAACTGTGTGTTTCTCTGGGTATGTATCCTCAAACAACTTTATCAGAGCACACCCTCGTAAGGAAGTTAGGACATACACTTCCTTCAGAGGCAGTGGATGCTACGAATTGTGGTGGGCATCACATATGAAAAGAACACATGCTTAGTTTCAGGGCCGCTGGAGCAAAAGTCACTACGGCTTACGACCTGGTTTTGTCTGTGAGAGACAGGCAAGTGTGTGGCCTCACTGAGAGTCCATTTGTGTGGAATGCAGATCATGATGAAGGGAAGCTGTCGGTGGGGATTAGAGTAATATGTAAAGGTCTTCACATATAGGCTATGCTGATTAACTTAGCTCAGCCAAGTGGTAGCTGAGCTATAAATGCTTGGCTTAAGAGAGATGGTCACTAGAAAATACCAACTCTGCATAGTTAACAGAGACATAAAGGAGACCAACTTAGCCATCAGAACCTTCCATTCTGGCCTCCGTCTACACAGCACACCATGGTCCGTGGGAAGCAAGAAGGCAGGCCATAATTCAAATTAAGGATTTAAGTTTTATGTTCAGAACCAGTTTTTCTTTAACCTCCTCCAACTTGTGCTCCATCCTGTGATTTTTAATCCACTTAATTATTTGGCATTTATTGATGGAGCCTTGGCAGAATTCTAGGTTATTCAAGAAAAAGAATAGAATCTATACATAGTGGGAAAAATAATGAAAACCTAACAGTTATTTGGGAGTGAAGGGGCCACCTTAAGATAGATGAGTCACTATGTGTGACAGAAGGAGGGGTTTTCACTAGTGGGCTCCGAAAACTGCATGGAGGAGGTGATGACTGTATTGAGACCCATGGGAATGGGAAGAAGGTGGGCACGGGGACAGTTTGGGTACTGAAAGCTTCTTGTGGACTGGAGTTTTTTCTGGGTAGAAATGGTTTGAACACAAAGGTATTCAGTGCTGTAATATTTTTTCTTTTTGCAAATTTTAAGGGCTGTAGCTGTTATTTTTATTAGTTTTTAAAAAATTATTTCTTTTTAACTATTTACTTATCGTTGGTGTGTGTGTGTGTGTGTGTGTGTGTGTGTGTGTGTGTGTGTGTGTGTGTGCACTGTAACAAGTGGAGGCAAGGGAATAACTTTGTGGAGTAGCTTCTCTCCCTCCACTTTTCTGTGGGTTCTGGGGATTGAATTTAAGTCATTGGGCTTGCACAGGAAGGTGCCTTTACCTGCTGAGCCATCTCTCTGGCTTCTTGTATTAGTCTTTCAAGTTGTTTGAAGGTTTGAGATATATTATTTTTGTTTTTAGGTTAAAATTTAGTATAAGAATTACCTCTGTAGATTTCAGTCAGACGAGATCCACCTACACAGACAAATAAAATGCCTGAGGAAAAAACATCCCAATACAGCTCAAGAAGTTTTTTGCAACAAAGAATAACTTTCACCACGTTCTGAACCAATTTCCTCTCCATGTGTCTTATTTCAGTGTAAATATTTCTAACCTGTGTTAATTACTAATGTAGGCTCTTTTGTACACACATCGTTCAGGGGTTTACATTCAGATTTTAACATATCTCACTCTTCCTTTCTCACCCCTGTTTGTACACACAGGACACCACAGGCTCACGGAGCTATAGAATTCCATTACTTACCTAAGATCTTTGAACTTTTTTCAAGAACTCCAACATCTTAAGCAATGTTCACATGAGCCCTGGAGATTATTTGCTTCAGAAGGCTCTCTTAGGAACCTTCTGAAGGCCACTGATTTCAGTGACCTCCCCTTTTATTGATGTGACAAAGGGCAGACTCTAAGAATGACATTTTCTTGGATCTTCCACACTGCTATACTGTGTTCCATCAGAATTGCTGACATTTAAGTCCCATAAACAACATGAGAATTATCAGGGGGGTTATAGTGGATGTGACCGTGTAAAAGTTCTGCTGATGGTGAGGTTGTTTCAGTGGGAGTAATTAAGATGCTACTCAGCAAAGGATGCTTTGAATACACATTTTGCATAGTGTATCTAAAAGCGTGAGTTCTCTGTGTCCCAACTCCAATAAAAAAAGAGGAGAAGTTTGGGAGAAGGCCAACTCAGCAGTTTTTGTTCACAAGGCATCCTTTGTGTTGGGAAGAGGTTGAAGCAGGATGGGGTAGTTGTGTCCCAACTCCAATAAAAAAAGAGGAGAAGTTTGGGAGAAGGCCAACCCAGCAGTTTTTGTTCAAAGGCATCCTTTGTGTTGGGAAGAGGTTGAAGCAGGATGGGGACTTGTAGAAAGCTTTCCTGTTGGACTATCTTTGGACCACCAGCCCACAAAGAATGACCCAGAGACTATTATTAATTATGAAAGCTTGGCATTTAGCTTAGGCTTGTCTCAACTAGCTCCTAAAAAAGTTTATTTATTTATTATGTATACAGTGTTCTGTCTACATGTATCCCTGCAGGCCAGAAGAGGGCACCCGATCTCATTATGGATGGGTGTGAGCCATCATGTGATTGCTGGGAATTGAACTCAGGACCTCTGGAAGAGCAACCAATGCTCTTAACCTCTGAGCCATCTCTCCAGCCCTCAACTAGCTCTTATAGCTCAAATGAACCCATGTTTTAAAGTCTATGTTCTGCCACGTGGTGTTACCTCTCTTCCATCTTCCATGTCTGGCTGGTGACTCTGACTTTCTTCTTCTCAGAGTCGTCTTTGTCTCCAGAAGTCCTGCCTAATCTCTCTTCTTGCTAGCTATTGGCCATTCATCTCTTTATTAAACCAATCAGAAGGTGCATTGATAAAGACATGTCTTCACAGTATAAACAAATATTCCACAACAGGGGCTACTTAGACTAAGAAAAAATTAATAAAGCATGTTAGCAACAAATATGAGCCCATTCAATAGATATCTTGATTGTTTGGCTACCTTTAGGATCTAAATTTTTTGGACAGTGGCCTTGCATAGGTCCTGAAACTCACTATGTGGACCAGGCTGGCCTGGAACTTACAGAGATCTGTCTGCCTCTTTCTCTTGAGTGCTGGGATTAAAGGCGTGCATCACCATGCTTGGCAAAATCTGTAGGTTTAAGGTTCAGTTTTAAGGCCCTTTACCCTAATTGTTGGCAGTAATTGCTTTCCTTGTAGGTCAACAGCACAGAACTGCCTCATGGCTTCCCCTTCCTTTGGCCCCAGCCAGCCTCCAGGCAGCATGGCTCAATTTCTTTCTATGGCTGGAAATGTCCCTGAATTTTACTCAGAGTCCAGACCCAGCTGTTGCTTCCCAGTTGCAATCAGAATTTAATCCAGAAGATGCAGCAGTGTCCCAGGTCATCAGATGGAGTCCTTACCTTTGCAGGAATATTTGTTGAAGAAGAGATTAGATTCAGGATTAACCCGATCACAACAACACAGGTGTTTTCTCTACACCTGCATGACTCATTAAAGGTTTCCTTATTTAGGAAACACACATTATTTAGGTTTCCTTAGTTCTTTTCTAACTCAGGATCATATCCAGGATACCAGATTACTCATAGTGGCCATGTCACTTTAGCTCTATGAGGCTCAGACAGTTTCTCAGACTTTTTTTTTTTTTTTTTTTTTTTTTTTTTTTTTTTTTTTTGCTAGACAGCATCAGAGAGTGCTGCTCAGGGGTTTTGTAGAATGTCTCTAAATCAGAGTTAGTGTCAGGTTTATTTTCTTTTAGTTAGACAGAAGTGATGAATCTTGGGGTAAGGCATATAATATAATTCTTATCCAATCATATCAAAGGGCACATACACTGTGGCCAAAGTTTATCAATGATGCTTTTAACTTTAAATTCCAGATACAGGTAATGTTTTTCAGGCTTCTTCAGGTCTTTACTTTCATTGCTACCCTTTTGTCTACATCAGGAGGAGATTATCCCTAACTGTCACCTGTGGAGTTGGGAGTTAGATCACAAAGCCTTTCAGGTGGAGAATTGTAGGGAGACATTCTAGTCCCGCCTCCAAGGAATCTTCGTAAATTATTTGAAACCCTGCACACAAGCACCTGAATTTACTTACATATCAAATATTTATATCTGTATGGACTCAAAGGTATTTTCTGCTTTGAGCAATAATCCAAAATGTTTTTGCTGTTTAGGTTGCTTAGGTTGTCTCTAGTTGCATCATTGAACAATGTATCACTGAGACTCTCTTCGAGAGTGAGTCTAGCTTGGGATAAAGCTAATCATCACAGTGGGCTTTACATTAAAAGTCTTCAATTGACAGTGATTTGTAGGAGAAATTTGAATTTGTTGCTTCATAGATGTGATAACTTCACGGAAGACACTGCAAAGTTCTAGAGCCCCTGGTACATTGTGCTTCTAATATGTGTCTTAATTGCTTTCCTGGTCACAGTGCTGGAATGTGTTGTTTGATTCAGTTTCCTCTATTTCTTCCAAGGCTGTATTGCAAAGAAATATCAAATTCCCAGCTAACAATTTAATTTAAAATTTTCTTTTGTAACATGAAATATCATACCAATGAGATCTTTGAAAGTCAAGTGTATCTTAGTAAAAGCAGAAATCAGTAGATTGTATGTGTGTGAGGTGCAAACATTGTCAAACATGGTGACAGGCAGGAGCTGTTTATTTGTCTGTTCCATCATAATGTTCAAGTCTTTTCCTGAGTCTCCTCATGGCTGACTTCATCTTCTGGTTCCTCAGAGTGTAAATCAAGGGATTGAGCAGAGGGGAGGACAAACACAATGATGCAGGGCACAAAGTATAGGGTCATTATGGTGATGTAGGAGGTGCAGGTGGAGAAGGCTTTCTTCCTGCCCTCTCCTGACTGAGACTTCAGCAATAGTAATATGACCATGTAGGACACCAGGAGCAAGAAAAACCACAGTGTGGTGAGCATCCCATTATTGGAAATCATCAACATCTCCAGGACAAAGATGTCTGTGCAGGCAAGTTTGATGACCTGGGGGACATCACAGTAGAAAGTGTCAAGAACATTGGGTCCACAAAACGGAAGTGTCAGCAAGAGAGAAATCTGCACGATGGAGTGGACAAAGCCTCCCGCCCAGGAGGCCACTATTAACCCAATGCAACGGCCTCTGCTCATGATGGTCACATAGTGCAGGGGCTTAGAGATGGCCACATATCGATCTAGAGCCATCACTGAGAGAGAAAACACATCCACCCCTCCAATAAGGTGGAAGAAAAACATCTGAGTGAGACAGCCATTGAAAGAGATGGTCTTTCTGTGTGAGAGAAGGTCCAGCAGAACCTTGGGTGCAGTGATGGAGGAAAAGCAGATGTCGGCAACAGACAAATTCCTGAGCAAGAAATACATGGGGGTGTGAAGGCGAGGCTCGAAGGTCACGGTGACCATGATGAGAAGGTTCCCCAGCAGAGTTGTCACATACACCAGGAGAAAGAAAAGAAACAGCAATATACTCACTTCTTGACTCTGGGTCATATACATACATACATACATACATACATACATACATACATACATATACACACATGTATGTATATATGTTCAATATATTGAATCAATTATTTCAATATATAATTACTCAGTTATATTGAATGTATTTCAGTATATACAATATATTTCAATATATTATATTCAATACATGAATATTTAATTATATTGAGTCAATAACTTTAATTTATATACTGAAATTAGTGTAGTTGTCTACATTTTAAAGAATGCAAGTAATTTGGTGATCACATCAACTTATTGTATGCAGAATCATTTTTTTACTGAGCACTGTTGGGAATGAAAATATAGTATATAGTGACACTTAGGTAGCATTTGTTTTTTTTTTCTCTTATTATTATTATTATTATTA